CGGCCTCACGGATCAGAACTCGGAGGGGAACTGGGAATGGGTGGATGGGAGCGACTACGGATCCTCCTTCACGTGAGACCTAAAACCGGGACTAAGCCTAAAACCCGGGATTGATCCTAAAACCTGGGATTGATCCTAAATCACCTCATTTCACCCCAAATCCTCCTTCACATGAGATCCTAAAACTGAGCCTAAATCCTGGGATTGATCCTAAATCCTTCACGTGAGACCTAAAACTGAGCCTAAATCCTGGAATTGATCCTAAATCACCTCATTTCACCCCAAATCCATGGGATTGACCCTAAAACTGGGAATGGGTGGATGGGAGCGACTACGGATCCTCCTTCACGTGAGAGCCTAAAACCGGGACTAATCCTAAAAGCCGGGATTGATCCTAAATCCTTCACTGGGACTGACCCTAAATCCATGGGATTGATCCTAAATCCTGGGGTTCGACCCCAAATCAATTGGGGGATCTCCCTCCTCAAAAAAAACTCCAAATATTGGGATTTGGGGATTTTCCCACCCCATAACCGCCCCAAATATTGGAATTCCCTCTCCCAAAACCATCCCAAATCCGGGATTTTTTGCAGGAATTTGCCCCCAATCCGCCCCAAATCCGGGATTTTTCCAAATTTTCTCCCCCAAACCGCCCCAAATCCGGAATTTTTCCAAATTTCCTCCCCCAAACCGCCCCAAATCCGGGATTTTTCCAAATTTTCTCCCCCAAACCGCCCCAAATCCAGGATTTTTCCAAATTTCCTCCCCCAAACCACCCCAAATCCGGGATTTTCCACAGGAATTCCCTCCCAAACCACTCCAAATCCCGGATTTTTCATGGGAATTCCCTCCCCCAAATCCGGGATTTTTCATGGGAATTCCCTCCCAAACCTCTCCAAATCCGGGATTTTTCCAAATTTTCTCCCCCAATCCGCCCCAAATCCGGGATTTTCCACAGGAATTCCCTCCTGATCCCAATCCCACTCTTTTTTCCCAGATTTTGGAAGGAGGGGGAGCCCAACAACAGCGGCAACAACGAGGACTGCGCCCATTTGTGGATTTGGGGCCAATGGAACGACGT